TGGATAACTAATTTTAAGCATCTCAAATTAAAAATTAAGTTAACTAAAGTTGATCGGAGAGGATTCTTAAATTGAGAATGAGGTGGGATAATGACTTGTGTGGTTCTGTTGAGGAAGTTTCATTTTGGTAAAGTTGTTGAGGAAATTTGATAAGGTAGATTTATTTATATATAAATTTTATATATATTATTTATATAAAATTTTGGTTACTCATTGCTTTATTATGAAAAATTGAGATTTATAATAATTTTTTAAATAAAAAAATAATTATCTTTAAAAATGAAATAAAAAGTGGATAAATCATAACTAAGCAATGGAAGAATGACTGATCATATTTTGTACAAGGGATAGTTATTGGTTCAAATTTAAATTTAATACACTGCATAACATATTTATTAAAAAAATATTTTTTTAATCTAAAATTAAAAACAAACTAACTAAAAGATACAACTATATATACAAGATGCAATAACTAATTAAATTAACTATACTTATATTATATTTTAATAACAAAATTTTTTTTTTTTAAAACATGGTTAATTCGAGGTAGGGGGGAAAGGGGGAAAGGGAAAAGGTAGGGATTGAACCCCACGCCTTTAGATAAGTAGCCCTTTAACAATGTTGAGGTGGCCACTTGAGTCACCTTGGGCTTCTTTAATAACAAAATCTAGATAAATATTAAAAAATATATTAAATTGAGTATATATCAATTATTTTCTTTATACAAATGATGTTTATAATGTTTCGATTTTATTGATAGTGGCCGGCTGGATTCGAGTTTTGCTATTTATAGTTGGATTGGTCTTAGGCTTCTTTCTCTCATCATGCAGCTGGCATTCTGGGCTCCCAATTTGGAGGCCGGTGGGCCACATGTTGAATAATGATTTAGCCTTTAGCGATCAACAACCCCCAATTTCTTTTCTTCTTTTGGTAAAATACAGGTCTAGTAATTCCTTGCATCATTCTTTACTTTTTACTAGATGTATTAATTCTTTCAATTCTAATAATGTAGTTAATAAGAAAGAGAGAATGAAAATTGATGTCTTTAAATGCAAAGGTGAAGAATTAAAAAATAAAACAAAAATTAGCATTCAAATCTCAAAAAAATTTAGGCAAAATATACATTAAAATCATATCATTTCAATAAATTTTTAATAAAAAAGACAAAAGCAACTTACTTTTATAACATGAACGAGATTATTATGAATTTTTCCCCTAGTGCATAACGTAATGATCCCCAACATCATACACTATATTTTTCATGGTATTCTTGTATCATATATTATAGTTACATTTAGATCTTATACAACTAATGAAGAAAATATTAAAGAGAAAAAGAATGGACTAACCAACCACATACACTAATCATACAACATTATTTGGGGCAACACAATAATTTCAGTCATAAAGGAATTCAAATGGTTGATATTAACTATTTTATGGTAGTCCAATGGACAATTTCGTCATGACCTCCAAGCATTGATTATTTTAGGTGCAATCGCTAACTGCTTTCCTTTGTTGAGTTATTGGGTGCTGCTATGACTTTCCATCAACACACTAATATCCATAGAAAAGAGTTAGGTTTTTCATTCAAAATAGTGTCTTGCAATATAAATTACATCAAATTACAAAATATAAGTGATTGGATGAAAGGGATCTTGGCTGTAGAGCAGCCCCAATCATCAAATGACCCAATATTTGCAATCTAGTATCAATTTGGATGGTGAAACTATGAGGTTTTTTTTTTTTTTTTTAAGTAAAAAGTAAAAATTCAAGATTTGGAAATGAAAGGC